AGCCAAGAGATGTCCAAAAGAGTGAAGAGAGAGTTCAAGATACAGGAAATTGGTCTTTTCCCCGTAATGTTACGGAGGCGGAGGATTCAAACGAGATTCCCCTTGAAGGAGAGCGGACTGATGGACTGGATGCCAAAAAAGTTAACACTTGTGATGAAGGAGCAGTGGATTCAACAGACATCGCTAATTCCCCCGATACTGCAGCTGTTAGCGAACAGCAACGCATGATGGCGTATGAAAACAGCCATGCTAAAAAGCCCAGGTCCAAGCATAGATGTGATGAGTGTGGCAGAACATTCACTCGCTCCAGTACTCTCGTAACGCACAAACGAATTCACACTGGAGACAAGCCTTACGTCTGCAAACAGTGCGACCGCGCCTTTAGACAGCTTGGTAACCTGACTCGTCACCAGCTTACTCACACAACGTCCAAGCCATACATCTGTCAACAGTGCAACAAAGCATTCAACCGCGCTTCTAACCTTCACACCCACATGCGCACACATTCCGACTACAAGCCATTTAGCTGCGAATTTTGCGGCAAGCGGTTCCACCAGAAAGTCGACATGAAGATCCACCGCTACACGCACACGGGAGAAAAGCCCCACAAGTGCCAGAAATGTGGGCGAGGATTCAAGCAGCTGACCCATTTAACCTACCACATGAGAACACATTCTGACGTGCGCATGTACAAGTGTGAGTTTTGTGGCAAGGGCTTTAATCAGAAGGGAAACCTGAAGGCGCACGTGTACCGTCACACGGGAGAGAGACCATTCACGTGTGATATCTGCGGCAAGGGTTTTACACTGGCTTCAACTTTGAACACACATAAGAGAACACATGCACCACACAAGCCATTTCAGTGTCAGTACTGTGAGAAGGCTTTTTATCAGAAGAATGCCCTTAAATCTCATTACATCGCCTCTCATCCTTTCACAGGAGGCGTATCTCTGTTGTGAGGATGTAGTACAAATTAAAAAGAGACTCAAACGGCGCGTAGAATCCTCCAAAAAGAAGCAGTACACAATATTTCCTAATTTGGGCTGATTTGTATTGTTGGTGAGAATAACTATGGCAAAACTATAAAATATTTTAACCAGCAAACATTTTGACAAAATATTTAGATAGCTTAAGATAAGATTGCAGATAGCTTAATTTTTCGGATAGCTGAGTTTTGAAGCTAGTTATAAAAATAAAATATTCGTTGATGCTTTTTTTTTCTTAAAAAATCTGTAATTAAGAATGATCTGTAATTAAGAATTTTGGTTGGTTCTTTCCCTTAAGGTGGAAGTTTATAACTAACTGAATTGTTATATATATGTGTTAGAGTGATTTGGAGATTGTAATGGTGATAAATGGATAAAAATGTTACAAATAAAGTTTTAATCTTTACTGACTTCCACAACCTTTTCGTCTGAGTGCTGCACGAGAGAGAACATGTGTGGGGTTTGTTAACCTCGCCTAAATTTGTTTTTCTTTTAAAGCACTCTGCTTCACATACAAAAGAAGAGGATAATAATTGTTTTGAACAACCACGCATATACTTATTATAATTTTCCTGGCTTTCCATAGATTACCGTAATAATGTATGCCAGGCTTACCTTGGCGTTACCACCCCTTATTCATTAACCCTTTACTCTCTAACCTGATCAGTATGCATGTTCTCCATACTACTCCCTAGACATTTCCTAAGGTTCTAACACAGAGAATTTGTTTAACAATCAAGAGATTCTTAAGTTGGTGGTCATCTCCTTTATTTTCATGACCTTAATGTTTGATTCAGGGCTGATGTTGTAAGGATAAATTAGATGTTAGTCACTCTTAGGGGTTAAAGGGGTTAACCAGGGAGGGGTATTTTAGAGCCGGGTATTGAACATCATAGCAAATAATGGGGATTTCATGATTGGCGCGCACAACCCAGTACCAGTATAAAGAGTAATATGGTCAGTTTTTTCTAAGGAAGAAAAATTTCGTAGCTGTACGCATATTACAAACACCCCTTGATTTCGAAAGGGAACCCTGCATATCAGCAAGTAGTTGCATAATCACAAACCATTCTAAGCTGCAATGGACTTTTCGCCTAAGAAAAATCAAGGATTTATTACTGACAAATCCTAATGAAACATCTTCACCATCATGCTAACCTTTCTTCATGAAAATTAAGAATCAATACTATTAGTTTGAACTTTTTATGTTGTCTTATGGCATCAGTGTTAGATAAGAAACGATTGTGGGTTAGCATTTAATGTTTATCCTAGTAACTTACGTTTATTTTATAGCAATGAAAGCTTTTGTGGTCATTTCTGCTCTTGCTACATATACAGTCGTGAAGCCGGATAAACTAAGTTTTAATTCCCTTATTTAGGTATTCTTACACCTCTACTCCAAGTCGGACTCGTATTCCAATTTTAAAATTCTACTCCAACTCCAAATTGATCTAATTTAGATCTCAAGTCATGGTTATAAAAAAAATCAAGTACGAGATAATGACTTTAAGATGTACGTGAAGGATGTACAGAGGCTTGCCAAAAATGAAACACTGGTTTCCTTTTACTCTGAGTATTCGACGAGTTACTCACCTTTTACCTCTACCGAAATTCGGTATTTTAAGTTTGTGTTTACACTTTGCACGACATAATAATTACTTGGACTACTTACATATGTAACGGCTCCCAGATTTAAAATTCTGATTATTATATACCTTTTGTCCTTTAATGTTTTGTAAGTGTAAACAAAGGCAGCAACGAAATTAAGAAGAGACGTTAATGCTTCTATACACAGATACAGAAATGGCAAAATAACCTCAAAATTAGTAAAGCATACCATTTTTTCTTGTACAGTATAGTTTGAGCAATGTTTTGTTTTACCTATACTTTAAGTCTTAGAAAAGTATCTAAATATTGTTTGATCATCGGAAATAATCTTGTATTTTATTTTATAAAAGGGGCGGGCGAAAGTTCTCAGTTTTGGCGATACTGAATGTAAAAGATCCCCTTAAAAATAGCTTTTTTTCCCTTCTGTGTTTATTTGGACTATCTTCATTTTTATGATTTCCCATCCGTGGTATTTATATACTTGATCTTGAGAGAGCTATTTCTTGAAAAGTCTTGCGTAACTAAGCAGTATTTCGGTGATTTTGGGAGTGGTCATGAGAAAGGGAAATGGATAATTTGCTTGTTTCGGGAGTGAATTTGAATGCCGAGAAACTAGTACGTGTGAGTCAGCTTAATCAATCAATCTTTTCAAGGCTATATTTAATATCAAACTTCCTGGTTCTATTTTCTTTATACTTTGAGGATCATTTGTCATTAATTCAATCTGCAATAGAAGATTGGACTGAGTTGCATCGGAATAGATATTGAAGAAATTTGATTAGTTTGTAACCTAACTAAAAAATACAATGAAAGAACTGCACTTTGACCTAAGACCATATTAGAAAACTTTATCATGAACAGTTCCTAATCCTTAATGCTCTAAACCCGGAATAGAATACGGAAAATATCTTCAGGGGTTTTTTCCTCGAATGGTAATACTTTTTCTGATAGAAGGAAGCTTTTGTTTCACGACCTTGGTCCACGCTGCATGACATTGGCAGTTTGCATTTTCAGGAACGTATATCTGATCACTTGATGTTAGTTACGCTTTTTCAGCGATCTCGCGTTTTCTTTTGGTCGGGTCTGAGTCACACACGTTGTTAACACCTAATGGATTTTCAACCGGAACAATCAAATAAAACTGCGGAAAAAATGTTTTTTTTAATTAAAATTTCTTCTCCCAACCTTACTTTTAGATTAGAGGCAATTGGATTTATGTTTGTTTTTGTTTCCTTTCAAAGGCTGCAGAGATTATTCTTGGGATATTTCACACTCCTTGCGACAACTTCAAACGGCGTGACTGTTTTCCAGATGTTCATATGCAATTGCAAAATTTCCTGTAAATTTTGTAAATATAGGACAGACATATCAAAAATGTGTATTGTAAAATGATTCCCTTGCAGCTTAAAACAAAATTATTTAGCACGTGCAGGTATGACTCTCTATAAGCCTTACAAACTGTTCTTCTACTACGAAACAGCAATTATCTGGGAAATCCCTAAATATGGATTGTGGGTGTTGTTGATTGTGTGTTGCAATTTAAAGCTTATCACTCCCAAAGGTTGAATAAAACTTCTTCCTTATATCATTTTCATAAAATACTGCCCACGCATTTGTTTGAATAAAAGATAATTTCCCCATTATTCAACGTTTGTCGCTAATAATTTCCAATAAACTGTGGCTAAGAAGGGTAATCACGTGTGGCTTTATTTTAGATCAGAGTGGCTCTAAATATATCTGGCGTTAAATGAACTTAATCAATTCAAGTTTGAAAGATAAACAGACAACTTTGTTTACTAACTTTGTAGCGAAGAATCATTCTGCGGCTGTTCTATTCACTTTCGATGTATCTGTGAAGAAATGTATCTCATTTAGATAAGCTTGATAACTATTAATGCTATGTCAGCCCCAAGCGTTTTTAAATTTTGAGAAAAATTTTCCCAACTTTCTCAGCGCCAAACGATTTGAAGCAAAAGACTTCAACTTATCAGTTTACTTAGTGCAAATCCCATTCATTTTTTTTTTTTGAATTGTAAATAAAATTGTTTCCTTACACAAATCTTCCCATTGCGCAATGGCATTATCTGCTAATATACTACAGATATGATCGTATAACGGAGCTTGGACGACCTGTTATTACAAATGTAACATTTTACAATCCTTTCTGTTAGTTTTCATAAGATTGGAAATGAAGAAGTGCAGCTCTAGCTTTGGAGTTTTATGATTAGAACTTGTTATGTAACTTTCTTCACTCCATTAAAAAAAAAGGAAGTCCCCACGAAGCTTTTCGTTTATCCTGTTTTGACATAGTCATTTTTCAATTTTTTTGCCGTGGGCGTAGTATGTACGTGTTTTACAAACCCAATTAAGTTATTCTTAACAAATTCTATAAAAGACGATCAGAATTGAAGTCGAACCCAGAAGAAAACTGGTTAATTCAACGCTGGTTGGTGAAGAAAATGCTTTGCTCCAGAATTCTTTTCGTGTTTATTCTTAGTGATTTCATCTCTTGCCGAGGTTTCGAAAATGATTATCAAGGTAAGTAAGTACAGAGAACGTTTCGATTTAAGTTACTGCCTTAGACAATGCTTCCAGTAAACAGAGAATCGATTTCAGCTCTAAAAAAGTATTTCCCCTCTAATTTCCAAAAATTCAATTTTGTTACAGATGCAGTTAACGTAAATGAAGTGGAGATTAAGAAGGCTACCTTTGAACAAGAAAACGCAGATGAATTTGACAAATACAAGAGGAAGAGTATCGTGGGCTCAGATGATAGACTTCGCGTAAAACCTGAATCAGTGCAACGCCTGCCATTTGGAGCTATGGTGAAAGTCAAGATCAGTCCCAGCGCAGGGTCATGCTCCGGAGTCCTGGTTGGGCCCCGGCACGTTTTATCTGCCGCACACTGTTTTCACAACGGAAATGAGTTACTGGCACCGAGGCGATCGTTAAACGTTGGTGTGCTTCAGAGTAACCAACGTTTTACCTGGTATCGTGTCAGACAAGTTTCTCTCCCGCGTGCATGGTACGGCACAACCCCTATGAATCCTGAAATCGATTATGCAATTTTAACCCTCAAGAGACCCCATGGGAGACCGTATCTCCGCATCAAAGCTTTCTCCATGAAGAATCTCCAGCAATTCAGCGCCATGCACTTCGCCTGCTTTCCGAACGACAAACGAGAAAATTCAATGTGGTATTCGACGTGCCCTGTCGGTTGGCAGCCGAACAGTACCACCTACCGAACAGTCATCATGAACACCTGCGACGCTGCTGGAGGTTGCTCGGGAGCCGGCGTTTATGTGTTAAACAATAGGAACCAAAATCGATATGTCATCGGGGTGTTGTCGGGAACAGTCAATAGCAAGGCGAAAAATGTCATGACACGCTTGACCTCGAAAAAGGTGAAGGAAATTTGTCGCTGGATTGGAAGGTTGGCAAAATCAGGATGCCGCACCAGTGGTATTCAATAAAACTGAACGCTTACGTATCGATTCTATGATTACACAAGTTTAATTAAAATTAAAATGATAATTTCAGCAATCCTTTAGTGACATAAAAGTGTAGAATTTAAAGTTAATTAAGATATCGTTTAATGAATGTCAAATTTCGTTGAGGTCACAAATAAATGATAAAATATCAGAGAAGATTGTTCCTTCCTTTGCTTGTTGTAAATTGAATTCATAAGTTTATGATTACCAAAAACATCAACATAGCGAATTAAATAGCTGCAGGCTATCCCGAATGTCTAAATAAAATTGCAAACAAAGTTGTCACGTTAAATATAGGTGGACAAAGGTGTCCATTTTAATTCTTTCAAACTATCGTGGAGTAACTAACTGCTCCTCGTTAATCTTATTACACTCGGCAAGTTTTTTCGCTGCTAGTCCATGGTCTCAGAATGAGAAAACAAGATCGAAGTTGAAAGTCGATTACTACTAACACTTTCGAAAAAGAGGCGCTAGCTCTCTTATCGTATCGAGCTCTCACGCGCCCTAAGCACGCGCCGCGCGCGAAATAGGAGTGTGCACCGCCCATTTGGCCAGGTTGCTGAGGGAAGTCGCCATCTTTTTGTGGATAAAAAGTGATCGAAGCAGAAGGAAACATGTCTTTGAAGGCTGTGGTTGGACAGCGTGAGTTGAATATTTTACCTCATTATTTTTATTCCTTAAGCCATTCATGAAATCTGTTTTTTGTTTTACTTCATGAAGGTCTAATGCAAGATGTGATTCGCGAAGTCAAAACGGCCAACGAATGGAAGGTAAGTACACAGTAAACTATGATTCACTTGTCAGAGTGATGTAAACATTAACTTGATGGCTGACTGAAGCACCATTAAACACGGAAATATACTTAATTTGAATTTTTCAAAATAATAGGTTCTTGTGGTGGATCGTCTGAGTTCCAGGATAATTTCATCATGCTGCAAAATGCACGACATCGTCGAGGAAGGCATAACAAGTAAGTTTTTCTTTTTAAATTTGTTTACCTTCAACACTGGAAGTTTGAGCTTTAGAGATATGGTTATTGTAAGACTATCATTGTGATAACTTCTCATCGTTATCAGATAGAAATCCATGGAACTATGAAATAAATTACCCAACGGTGAACCTGCAACGTCATCTGCAGAAATGTTGCAGCAATATTGCACGTAAATATTTTACTGTTCGATCAAAATCGATCCTTTACTAGCACTGCTGTATTTAGAATATGATGTCCATTGACGTGATATCGTTTGTATACTTGATACCTTCTTATTATCTTGAAATAGATTTATGAATAAAAAAACTGGCTAGAGGTAATTTATTTCATTTTTTCTCTTTAGTTTTTTTGTAATCAGCAAATTGAAAGTTTTGTAGAGGGAAATGGATAATGCCTAGTTGCAAGATTTGTGCATGTACTCATTGTCAGACTGGTGAAGGACAGTAGAATTTAGGTTAATTGAATTAGTTTTGCTTTATATACTGAGTTGATAAGTGAGTTGGCTGTGGTAAAGACATTTGAAAGCTGACATTTCAAGTGTTAGCCCTTATTATTGTGATGTATTTATGTTTATCACACCTGCCCAGAATGATATTCATATTTACTGCATGATGAATTTCTTTCAGTTGTTGAAGATATTTCCAAAGTCCGCCAACCACTACCAACCTTTGAGGCTATATACATTTTGACACCTGAGGAAACGGTGGGTTATTTAAGTTTCTAAAGAAACTATGGTGCTGCGTCGATGGGAAAGTATAACAAGATAATTTTGGTATTATCAACTGAGTTGATAGTGTAAATTGGCTGTCATAAAGAATTTTAAAGCTGATATTTCAAGCATTAGCCCTTTCTCAGGGCCAAAACACTTGCTTTGACAAGGGGCTAGTGCTTGATATGTCAGCTTTGAAACTCTTTGCGGTTGCCAATTGATATTAAGAACTCAGTTGATAATACCAAAATTATCTAGGTGGGTTGTATAACTACCTTTACCTCATTTTTAATTTGCCTTAGATGTAGATGAAAAATCACATAGATATTAAAATACCAATGTAGAAGATTATACAGCCACTGCAGTTTCCCAGTTTTTGAGTGATATAGAATACCAACAACAGATTTAAATGTGTCAATCAATTCTACAATCAGAATTCTTCTTTAAGGTTTAAGCAAATGTTTCAGAAAGCCTGGGACATTTCAACTGTCAATAGTTCCCAGTCAAGGGTGTAATTTGAGAGAACAACATATGAATGAAGTGTCTATGAACCTGGCTACATGCTATTTCTTATTTTCCCTCTTCTTTCAAACTTATTGACAGCCCAGCTATTGATAGTTTGCAAGTGGGATTTGGTAATTATTGTTAGATGGTGATATAGATGTGGCAGAAATATTATGTTGTGGTCAGAGGTTACTCCTTAATGTGTCAAATGTGGTGGTGAGGTTTGCTCTCTCCTACCTAAGAAAAGAAACAAAAAGGGAACCTATTAAACCCTCAACCTTGAACAGTAGTTTTGGCATGACAAGGCCTTACCTGCATTGTAGAGCTGATATGATGGCCTTGGATTCTCAACTTATTATGCATTTAATTACTACACTATGTGTGATTGGTTAATTTGTGTAAGTGATCTTGGTTACAGGTATGAAGTAGTACTGTTTCAGTGTTCTTTTTAATTGAGTAACTGACTTCAATATATTTGGTTTCAAATTCTTACAGTCAGTTAAAGCTTTGGTTGAAGACTTCACAGAAGGAAATCACAGATATAAGGGTGCTCATGTATTCTTTACAGAAGGTACAGTTTACCATGGTGCATAGAAGTATATATCAGCACAAAGTAAATATTTTGGGATAATTAAGAATTCTTCAAGTATTAATTTTTGCAGATGTTTTGGATTGTTCCAAATAGTCTTGAGTTCAAACCTTCTTGGGTAACCCACTTCTCCTAAGAAAACACCAAAATTTTCTGCAAAATTTTCTTATTCTGGGGATTAGACTAAAAGTAAGGGACTTCAAATTGTGTGGCCCACTTCATTATTTTTAGGGGAGCCTTTTTCAAGAAACGAGGTCCAACTAGGCTATTTGGCACCAAATCCAAAAAAACTGAGTCCTTTTTGAGACTTAACATTGGTCAAACTTGCTGGACCCTCAGCTGCCATCTTGAAACATTCCTGGCAACAGAAAAAACCAGGGTTTGAATTAGTGCAGAATCCGAGATGTTTTACCAGTGAAGTGAAAATGAAGAAGAGAAAGGCAATTTAGACAGTAAGAGGCTATAATAGTTTAAAGTAAGTTTATAGAGCAGCCATCAAATCAGTGTTGTTGTCAGTGATGTTTTTGAATAATTTATTTTCAAAAAATAGTATTTATCCTGGGGTCTATTTTAAATTTTTATTTTGTACCCCATTTGATGCACTAACATAGATTTTATGTGGCATTTTTTTCCAATTTGTGGAAATCCTGCAAAGTTGCTCTAGAATAAACCCATTTGCAGATAGATTAACACTAGTTTGAAATGTTTTTGAGTTCTGAAAGTTTCTACTTTTTTGTATCGTATCATTATGGAATGTAAAAAATTTGCGGTACCTTTCTTTCCACACCAGTTTGTCCAGACTCCTTAATCAGTGAAATTGCAAAGATTTCCAAATGTAAGTACTTGTTTGGTATTTCTTTAGTGTACAATACTAATGAACTGGATACAAGGTTACTGATATGTAGTGGAAATATGTACTCTATGTACATTAAGGTGAAAGAAAAAAACATGCACTGGCCCTGTTACAATTTGAATTGTCTTTGCAATTAACAGTCTTTACAGTTATAGCTGTCACTCTCTGGTGTACAAGCTAAGGCTAATCTGTTTGTGAGGTATTCGTACTGTCATAAGCTTTTGAGGATCAATCCTGTGTGGGTTAATGTTTTTATTGGTTCCTGTCCTTACTCAAAGATTTTCTCCAGGTTATCTAGTTTTCCTCCCTCCACAAAAATCATCCTTTCAAGTTCTAAATTTGACCCAGAAAACCTCCTTTCGTTATGCTAGTGTGTCTGCAGGTGTCTGATAATCATCTTCAATCATTTTGTGTTTTATCTTAGATGTGAAGACCCTGAAAGAAATTAACATTGCATTTCTACCATATGAGTCTCAGGTAAACTGCTGCAGTTAAAAAATTATTGCATGTACTTGGTAACTGTTAAAAGAGAGTGAATTTTCACAAATTTTTAGCTGTAAATTCAATAAATTTACCCAGAGTCAGCAAATGTATGGAGGTATTAGCCAGACTATCACAGAATAAATTTAATTCTACTAATAATATTAAAAGAATGATCCAACTTGAACAATCACTTGTTTTTCAGGTTTACTCTTTGGACACTCCAAAAGCATTTCACAGTTTTTATGGGCCTGAACCATCAGACCAGTCCCAGCGATTCCAATATTCTGAGGTACCTATCTGTTAAAATTTGGACTATTAATGATCATAATCATGATATTGCAAAAAAAGGGAACTACATGTAAGAAATGGGTGCAAAGTTTTGTTTGGCAACAATACCTCCAGATTTATTAAATTCCTTTCATATGTCACATATTCCTAAAGTGGAATCAAAATTAAGTGAGGCCGTGTATAGGATTTTTATCTTTATCAAGTTTAGAATCATCCTGACCTATATTTCTCTTCCTGGCTTCCCCTTGAATTCTATATAATCCATTAGCATGGAAAAATAAGGCAGTTTTTACTTGGAACAGTTATAAAGGGCTGAAAATAACAGAGGAATAAAGAGCAAAAAGCTGTTTGAAGTTGGAGAGGCTACAATACAAAATTTGAAGGCCTTCCATGATTTTTCTTTTTGAAATCATTTTTGGTTTCTTACATGTAGTTATGAATTTTGTTGGAAAAACTGATTATCGATAATTAATTCAAAACTGTAGTTAATCAGCTCATTCAAGGATATTGTTATTAGCTTATCACTATTTTTACTGGTGAGGAAAGAGGAAAAAGGAGCAATGCCTTTTATCACACCAGGACATTGATCAAAATTTTGGAAAAATAAATAGAACAGAATCTACAAATATTGACATCTCAGTACTATTTGAGGACCATCT